TCGCCATGCACAAAAGTTAACTCAAAATGGATCAAGGAGCTTGATATCAAATCAGAGACATGGCTTCTGATAGAAGAAAAAGTTGGCTACGATCCACATACTGTGGGGTCGGGCTCCAAATTCCTCAATAGGACACCCATAGCACAAGAGTTAATAACTAGAATCAACAAATGGGACTTACTCAAACTAAAAAGTTTTTTCTCAGCAAAAGAAACAATAAGAGAGGTAAATAGGGAGCCTACACCCTGGGAACAAATCTTTACTCCTCACACTTCAGATAGAGCCCTAATATCCAGAGTATACAAAGAACTCAAAAAATTAGACAATAAGAGAACAAACAACCCAATCAACAAATGGGCCAAGGACCTGAACAGACACTTCTCAGAGGAGGACATACAATCAATCAACAAGTACATGAAAAAATGCTCACAATCTCTAGCAGTCAGAGAAATGCAAATCAAAACCACCCTAAGATACCATCTCACTCCAGTAAGATTGGCAGCCATTATGAAGTCAAACAACAACAAGTGCTGGCGAGGATGTGGGGAAAAGGGTACACTTGTACATTGCTGGTGGGACTGCAGATTGGTGCAGCCAATTTGGAAAGCAGTATGAAGATTTCTTGGAAAGCTGGGAATGGAACTACCATTTGACCCAGCTATTCCCCTTCTCGTTCTATTCCCTAAAGACCTAAAAAGAGCATGCTACAGGGACACTGCTACATTGATGTTCATAGCAGCACAATTCACAATAGCAAGACTGTGGAACCAACCTAGATGCCCTTCAATAGACGAATGGATAAAAAAAATGTGGCATTTATACACAATGGAGTATTACTCTGCATTAAAAAATGACAAAATCATAGAATTTGCAGGGAAATGGATGGCATTAGAGCAGATTATGCTAAGTGAAGCTAGCCAATCCCTAAAAAACAAATGCCAAATGTCTTCTTTGATATAAGGAGAGTAACTAAGAACAGAGTAGGGACAAAGAGCATGAGAAGAAGATTAACGTTAAACAGGGATGAGAGGTGGGAGGGAAAGGGAGAAAGAAGGGAAATTGCATGGAAATGGAAGGAGACCCTCAGGGTTATACAAAATTACATACAAGAGGAAGTGAGGGGAAAGGGAAAAAAAATACAAGGGGGAGAAATGAATTACAGTAGAGGGGGTAGAGAGAGAAGAGGGGAGGGGAGCGGAGGGGAGGGGAGGGGGGATAGTAGAGGATAGGAAAGGCAGCAGAATACAACAGACACTAGTATGGCAATATGTAAATCAATGGATGTGTAACTGATGTGATTCTGCAATCTGTATATGGGGTAAAAATGGGAGTTCATAACCCACTTGAATCAAAGTGTGAAATATGATATATCAAGAACTATGTAATGTTTTGAACAACCAACAACAAAAATTAAAAAAAAGAAAAACTAAAAAATAAATATTAAAAAATTCAAAAAAAAAAAAAAAAAGACTTACTCTAACCCCATCCTGTTGTCTCTGAGTTCCCAGGGATTAGGCTTTTGAAACTCAAAAACTTTCAGTCTATCTTTTGCTATAATATCCTTTTGGCAAAGATTCCCACGATAGTGTAATGATGCCAAAACATGGAGTTCTAAATAAGAAATGGTGCTAAATGTTTCAAAATGTCATTCTACTATGATAGTGCTTTCTTTTTTTTTTGTTTTAAAATAGATTTATTGAATGATATTGACCAAATTGTATTGTGATATTGTGTGCATGTATATTCCACCATTATGTACAAATATAATGCACCCATACAAATGTGGAAAAATTAGATTAAAAAAATCTTTCTCCTTCACTAGGCTGTGAGCTAATACTTTTCTTTTGTTAACTCTAAATCATGATAGAACCCCAGAGAAAAGATGGAGGAAGGACCCTGATTTACCTGAATGTAGGTATCTCCCAATATGTACAATGAAGGGTCAGAAGGTGAATTAAATTGAGTAATAGAAAAAAATTATATGAGCTGAAATATGTACCAATGCATCAAATAAGGGTATGTCTAGGGCCCCAGGATGTTAGTGCAGAGAGGAGAGTAGAATCTCAACCTCTGATAAGTGAACTCATCAGTTATATGATTAATGCTACCAGTTTTCATTTGGCTAGTGGCTACCATCTACCAGGTGCAAGTCAATTTGCTCAATCATTTTACAAAGGAGTCATTGTTTCCCCTACATAGACTTGAAGAAAGCAACAGAGACTTCCAACATCATTCTAACACAGGTTATAGCTGTTTGATCCCAAATTCTTAGTACTTCCCTCTGCTCAGACTGTGAAATCAATTTTGTTTAACTTATGACATGATTATGGGTTCAAGACCCAGTGTGAGATGTGTGTGTGTGTGTGTATGTGTGTGTGCATGTGTGTATACAGTCAGTCCTCCAGATCCCTGAACTTGATATCTGTACATTCAATTAACACTGAATCAAAACTATTCAGAAAAAAAATTGTGTCTAATAACATAGGCTTTTTCTTGTCATTACATTATTTCTAAACAATAAAGTATAATAACTATTTGCATAGCACATTATATTAGGTATTGTAAGTGACATGGAGATGAATTAAGGTATATCAGAGGATGTGCAAGGGTTGTATGTAGACACTGTACCATTTTTTATAAAGGATTTGTGCATCCTCGGATTTTGTATTTTCAACCGCCTTGGTGTGTGTGTGTGTGTGTGTGTGTTGAGAGAGAGAGAGACCTGAGACCTTTGCTCTATGGGGAATTAAATGTGTTTTTCAACCATCAGAAAGGAAAGAGTTCAAATATGGTTCCTTGCCCTGGTATGCGTAGCATTTTGGTGAAGTCATTCTCTGAGAAGCTTATTGATTCATCTAATATTTACTACCTCACTTATTACTAAAAGCAGGGTGCAGTCTCACCATTTAAACTTGGGATCTTGGTATGTTTTAGCCAAATGTTTAATTTATCGTTTAGGCCATTTAGGCGTTGTTGGGAATGAAGAAAAAATGTGTGAATTATGTGGAGATAAATGTTTGCTTTCTGCACTGCCTGGCAAGATGGCGGCAGTATTTTTTTTTTCACAAATAAAATATGTAATTGTGTGGATTAAAAAATAAAAAAGATTAATCTTAATACCATAAATCTAGTAAGCATGGGAAATAAATTTAAAAAGTGTTCTTTTTAAAGACAAGTACATTACTATAGGAAAAAATTCAACTAATTCTTTTTGGTTCTTTTTAGATACGGACACCTTAAAGACTCTTTCTTTGTCTGGAGCTCAATTGACTCCATTTAGCAAATCAGGTAAATATCAAGAATGCCAAGTTACCAAGCAAAGAGTCCAAGGGAAAAGCCCTTAGACTTTGCCAACATCCTACATGATATTAGGATTGAAATAAAGAGAGATGTTGGCAAATACTTTATTTCCCATTATTTCTTTTAGAATAGAACAAAATATCCGTGAGGCCACTGGCATCTGCCTGGATTTTCACTATATCTGAGATGTTCAATTTCAACTTTAGGTTGGGATTTACTCTCAGGCAGACTATGGAAGCCAAGGAAATGGCACCAACACATTTATTTCCTAATAAATGTGTTGATTTGAAAATGGTTAAGGGATACTTGTAGTTTGTCCCCATTGTAATTGCTCTGTCCAAACCAGGCATTTGTGTGTGTGTGTGTGTGTGTGTGTGTTATGGAGAGGAGTTGTCTTTTCTAATATCACCTGTAGAGGGAATAATTCAACCCATTATTTGGTAAGTATTATTCTAAATACCAAACCTGAAAAAGGGCATTACAAAAAAAAAAAATACAAAAAAAAATTGTGGTATATATGTGTATTAAGAATTGTAATGCAAAAAAAAGTACATGTATAAAGGCATAAATTGCTGTAAACATACTTTATATACAGAGATATGAAAAATTGTGCCTTATATGTGTAATAAGAATTGTAATGCTTTCCACTGCTGTCGTGTATTTAAAAAATAAAAAATGCAAAAAAATAAGTATTTGTTAAATAAAAATTAAATAAATGAATAAAAAATAAATTGAATGTGCAAGCCAAAAACAACAACAACAAATCAAAGCTTCTAAACAAAATTTTACCAAATGAACCCAAGGACATATTAAAAGGATAATGCATCATTATCAAACTAATCTAGTGACACAAAACAGATCAATGGTTACTTGGAGTTTGGAAAGAGGGGCTGGAAGAAGGGCTTATAGAAGGTCATGAGGGATCTTTTGGGTATGATGGATATGCTCATTATCTTGATTGTGGTGATAATTTCACAGATGTATGTGTCAAAACTTTATCAAACTGATCCTTTTAAACGTGTGCAGTTATTCGAATGCCAACTAAAGCTGCTTTTAAAAAACAATTTGTCTACGTAATTTGCCTTCGGGTTTTTGGGAGAATGAAGAGAAAAACTAGAGTGAAAACAGGCATCATCACATTTTGTCCCATTAGTTAAGTTCATATACTCGCGAAATTCCCACATTGATAACTTTGTGGTAACGAGTTGGCTGGGATGGAAAGGACCTGAGGTCTGCGGTACCACGGAAACTGGTTCAGGGAGACTCAGGCTACTGCTAAGAGGCAACGGAGAGAGGAGAGAATAAGAGCAGAATGGACAGGAGCTTGCGGAACAGAGCAGACATGCTCGGCGAGATCAGCAGCCAGGACCAGCTGGACAATCCGTGAGAAAGAAACCAGGAGCCCACTCCTCGCACGCCTTCCTCCAGGGCAGGAGCCCCTTGGAGCCCTGTGACCTTTGCGCTCAATCAGGTCTAGTGTGCGTGTTCACGAACGAAAATACACAATGGTTGAAGAAAGGATAGGGGAACAGGTCACCCTCCAGCTCCACGCGATTGATTTAGTGAGCTGGGTCAGTCAAAGGGCCGAACCGAGCGGGCGAGAGGAACCAGGCGGTGCCAGGGATGCGGAGAATGGAGACCTGGAGGGCGGGACAGCGCACCCCGCTCCTCCCCAGGCCGGGCGGACCCGAGACCTCGACCCGCCTCTCCCGCGCGGTCCCAGTCACGGCGCCAGCGGGTAGCCATGACGGGCCGCCTGCTGCGGGGCCTGTGGCAGCGATGGCGCCGTTACAAGTACCGCTTCGTTCCCTGGATCGCGCTGAACTTAAGCCACAACCCGAGGTGAGAGAGCGGGGCGGCCGGACCAGACGTCTTCCTTCAGCCCGCGGCGCCGCTAGGGCCGCCGGGCCTGAAGCGGGAGGAGCCTGAGCCTGAAGAAGCCGAGGCAACCGAAGGGCCTAGGGCTGGCAGCAGGGCCGAGCCTGAGGCCCGGTACTAGTTTGGCGGGTGCGAAGCAGAAGGCAGGCAGGCCGAGGAGGGCGGAGTTGAGGTCACCCACATGGGACTGAGAGGGGCGGAGCCTAGGTGGGCGGGGCCGTGGTGGGCGGGGCCTGCCGCGGGCGAGGCTGAGGCTAATTGGAGTCCTTGGCAGGCTGGAGGTCTGAAGCGGGCGCTGGCCTTAGGAGGGCGGGGCATGTCACCTCTTTCCCGGTAGGCGCCGCGTTGCTAGGCCTGCGAGGTCTGCAAGGCTGGCGTGGTCCGCGTCTGTGGTGGCGCGTATTCTTTTCTGGTGCGAGCTTGCTGGAATGCTGTATTTGGACAAAATTAGAAACTTAAAAAGTCTTTACCTCGTCAGAGTGCTGGCCTTTTCTCCGCCCGGGGATGGTTAGATTGTTTGAAATTCAGAAAAGCCCAGGTTATTTTGAATTCTCCGTATTAGTAATTTATGGGGTGAAAACCACGCAGCTGACTGTAAGGGTAACAAGCTTGGAGTAGCTAACGCATTAACAAGTGCACGAAGCAGCCGAAGACACGACGAAGTGTTGGGTTTATGATAGGGGGGTCAGTCTTCATGGGGTTAGTGTGGTGGCTGGTATTAAGATCGTCCTGGTGAGCTGCAAGAAGCAAGCACCGCGCTCACCCAAATAGGCAGACTGGTAACCGAAGGCCAGTTTCTGAAAAACTGGCGAACAGAGGAGCTTTCCCAAAGATTCATACTACAGAAACATGAATTCAGGTGCATCATTCCTATAGAATGGTGAGACCAGATTTGATACATTTTTCTTCAGAAGTAAAAGTACAATTAGTACAAGAAACAATACAGTTGTGGAAATAAAAGTGATGTAATTAAAGCGTGTACTCCTGGAGGGAGTAGGACAAATGATATAAAGTTTGTTTTTGAAAGTACAAGCCTGAGAAAAAAGCAGTTGCAATGCAACGATTCTTATAATATCCAAATGGCTATTGGGTGTAATGAGGAAAAAAAGCTGAGCTACATTTCTGTTTCTGACTCTGCACTCTCGGTAGGACGTTGGGAAAGTTCCCTATCATCTCCAAGTTTCAGTTTCTTTGACTGTAAAGATGGAATAAGGACCCAAAAGCATGTGACACAGAATGGGCCTGTCATAAATATTGACTACTTTTATTGGAGTTAGGTAACTAGAGCTACCCCCCCAAACAATTCTTTTTGACTTCAGTTGCATGCTCTTTACACACATGAGAATAAGCTTGGAGTTCATTAAGGCCAGTAATTTAGAAAATAAAGTCAGTCTGGCTTCTGTTAGTTGAAGGGTAGTGAATGAAACTTTTCCCATTTTCAGGACTCTTCGATATGTTCCAGAGGAATCCAAAGACAAAATTATCTCAGATGAAGATGTCCTAGGAACATTACTGAAAGTTTTCCAGGCTCTATTCTTAAATGATTTCCATAAACAATCAGATATCTTGACTATCCTTCCAGAACCCGTTAAGTCAAAATATCAAGACCTGCTGGCAGTTCAGTATCAAAGGGTGAATCTACTTGAAAACAAACATCAACAGCAAAATATCTTTAAACCAGAAGAAATTCTTTATAAGACATTGGGTTTCAGTGTTGCTCGAGCAACTAGCTCACTGATTTCTGCTGGAAGAGGTGTCTTCGTTACTAAAGGATTGGTACCAAAAGGCGCAGTTGTATCTATGTATCCTGGTAAAAGCTCAACTAGTACTGCCAAGAGTTTCTTATAGATCAATGCATAAAAGTTCAGCAAATATCTAGCCCTGTAATACTTAGAGTAGGGGGTTGAACTGGAAAGATTTCCATTTATTTTTAAAATTCTAATTTGGTAGTTAACTATTCATAAATTATGTTGTATGTTTTAGAAAGTATCCTGGAGTATCTGTTGAGATAAATTATTTTTATTTTAAGGAAATCTTTATTTAATATTTATTTTTAGTTTTAGGTGGACACAATATCTTTATTTTATCTTATAAGTTGCTGAGAATCGAACCCAGTGCCTCACGCATGCTAGGCGATCGCGCTACCACTTGAGCCACATCCCCAGCCCCTTAATGAAATCTTTCTAATCAGTGTTTAAATTTAAAACACAGTATGGCCCACTTTGACAAGTTACTTAGAAAGCATTAGAGAATAACGCAGTTTGACTTAGTTGGTAACTATATAAGTTAAAACAAAAGAATTCAAACTCACAAATCACTGAATAAAGACTTTCCTACTGTTTATACCTGTGAAGTATACAAGTAAAGCAGCTTCTTTGCAAAACATTATTGATTAGAATGATCAGTAGAATATGTTATTTGTTAAACTAACTTTCTCTTATTTGGTATATATAGTGAAAATGTGTGTGTGAATATTTGAGTTAGACTTATGTTTTTAAAAAGTCATTCTATTATTTTCTTACTTTATATCCCTAAACACACAAGTCTCAGTTTCCTCCTGTACAACTAACCCAGCTGTAAAGATTCAACAGAATAGGTCAACAAATTAATAGTAAAATAAATTTAATAGATTAATGTGACTGGCACATAGGAAACATTCAGTAAATATTAATTTCTTCTTTTTTTTTTTTTTTTTGCAGTGGGGTTTACCGGGGATTGAACTCAGGGGTACTTAACCACTGAGCCACATCCCCAGCCCTTTTTTTTTTTTTTAATACTTTATTAGAGACAGGGTCTCACTGAGTTGCTTAGGACCTTGCTAAGTTGCTGAGGCTGGATTTGAATTCATGATCCTTCTGCCTCAGCCTCCTGAGCCACTGGGATTATAGGCATGCGCCAACACCCCCAGCCTCCTTTCCTCTTTTTGCCAGTAAGAGGAGAAAAAGCCTGAATGTCAGATTCTTTTATTCCTGTATATGTCTACCTTATTTATTAGCAAACTGTATTTCTTAAAATACCCTTTAGTAGATATCAAATCCCATTCTACTTTAAAATATATATTTATATATGACTTTGTAAAACTGAATCTAATATGTAACAGTTCATATTTCTAATTAAGCAAGATAGTTATATTTTTGTTCTGAGGTGTGGACTGTTGGTTCTGTGCTCCGCCTGTCATTGAGTGCAGTCTCTTTAAAGAGGGAAAATAACCAAAGAGAATGTGATGGAGAAATTAAAACAGATTTTTCTGTCTTATGTTCATGTTCCGGAGAAAGGAAATCCTGCTCAGGATTTTTATGATTTTTACATGTTGCTATAATATGTCTTTATTTTATTGTATAATAGGTACAGTATATCAAAAGTATGAGCCAATCTTTTTCCAGTCCATTGGAAATCCATTTATTTTTAGATGCCTGGATGGGGTACTCATTGATGGAAATGACAAAGGGATATCAAAGGTTGTGTTCAGGTAGGTGATGCCCATATTCAAATGTAATTATAGGATAAAGAACCACAGTTACTGGCATAATTATAACCTACAGCATTTGTACTTTAAATGAAAATTTAGGTGACTACTATGTAGCTACTCAGGTGTCTTGACAAGCATTTTTAACAGAGAAATTCCACTTGTTTAGTTGTAGTATTAATTTGGTATTTTATTTGAAGATACAAGAGTTCCTTAGCTGATGCTTTCACCTGTTTCAGATCTTGTAATGGAAGAGATCGACTTGGACCTTTAAAAATGAGTGATAGTACATGGCTAACATCAGAAATTCATAATCCACTGGCCATCGGACAGTATGTCAACAATTGTTCAAATGGTAATTTTACATCATGGGGCTATGAGACAAGGTACAGCAATGGCTAATTCTTTGCCAGATGACGAGTGCCAAAGGCATTTATGTCGTTACAGCTATTCTAAGTCTTTAAGCAAATATAACTTTTCTTTTTTAAATATATATTTTTTAACTGTAGATGGACACAATACCTTTTTTCAATTTGTTTTTATGTGGTGCCGGGGAAGGAACCCAGTGTCTCACACATGCTAGGCAAGCGCTCTACCACTGAGCCACAACCCTGGCCCCAAATATAACTGTTTTTAAGAGAAGATATCACAGAGAGAATTTGGGGAAATAATGATATACATTATTTGAAAATCTTTAATTTATGATTTTTGTTCTGATTTTTCAGTGAACATAGACAATTGACTGTAACCTTTTGATCATTATTATTTTAGCATTTTTTGAATAGTTAATTTAGAGATTACTTTATCACTGTTGATATAGCCTTATCACTAGACCTATATCCCCTTTTGTTGCTAAATTTATGAGTCACTTTTTTTAAGACTTAATTTTCTGGGCTACAACTAGCATGTAGACTTTGGTGTATGGGAGACATGAACTCAGAGCCTGACTTCTTTGTTTAACCATTAACTATTTTGAGTGTTTATTTCATGATATTTTAAAAGTAAACAGTAAAACACATAAATATTATATAGGTTTACATATAAGATATAAATATATATGCTTTACTTTTAAAATTTTATTTTATTTCCATTATATTATTTATTCACTCCTTTTTCAATATTTATTTTATATATTATTTGTTCATATATATTAGATATACATGTAAAATCTAACAGTGCCTGAAAAATAATAGTAATTATTATTTTGAGCATGTTCCAATAATTTTGAAAACCATACATTGGATATCATTAATCAATACAGTTTTCCCTGAGTTTGTATCATGCATGGATGGCTGTTTCTCAAAAATATGTGCCTGTTCCTAGACAGAGCAGCTAATGTCTGTTATCAGGAATTTGATGTGCCTGCAGTTTTCCCTGTAGAACTGAAACAGTATCTTCCAAACATTGCCTACAGTTATGAAAAACAAAGGTTAGTATTCTAAGAGCATTTTCTATTTTCTTTCTTTTACTGTACTTAAATATAATTTATAAGAAAAAGCTATAAAGAATTTGGGGTAGAATTTTTTTAGTGAAAAGTAAAGGACTGGAGATGTAGCTTAGTAGTAGAGCATTTGTCTAGCATGTGTGAGGCTCTGGATTTGATCCCTACCACCACTACCCCCGCCCCGCCAAAAAAAAAAAAAAAAAATATATATATATATATATATATATATATATATATATAAAAAATACATATACACACATATACATTATACATAAATTATCTATATCAAAAATATATGCAGATGCTGGGCACAGTGACACATGCCTATAATCCCAGCAGTTTGGAAGGCTGAGACAGGAGGATCACGGGTTCAAAACCAGCCTCAGCTAAGCAACTCAGTAAGACCCTGTCTCAAAATGCAAAATAGGGCTGGGAATGTGGTTCAGTGGTTGAGTGCCCCTGAGTTCAATCCCAATACTCCCCACTGCCCACACACACACACACACACACACACACAGATACACACATATATGTAATTGATATTTTTATGTTCACGACACCTTAGTGTGTTAATGTAGGCTTATATAAAAGTAAAAACTTTTCTTTAACTTAGGTCATTCTCCTTTTTTTTTTTAGTTGTAGTTGGACACAATTCCTTTATTTTATTTATTTATTTTTATGTTGTGCTGAGGATCGAACCCAGCGTCTCATACGTGCTAGGTGAGCGTTCCACTGCTGAGCCACAACTCCAGCCCCTCATTCTGTTTTTTATTACCCATTTTACCCGTAATCATAAGAGTGATTATGCAGTACTTTACAGGTCTTATCCCTAGAGGTATTTTGTTATTTTCAAGTGATTTTGTTATTTTCCTACCCACAAAATCTTCAAATATATATATTTCATTTTAGAGAAAGAAAGAGAATTTTTTAATATTTATTCTTTAGTTTTGGGTGGACACAACATCTTTATTTTATTTGTATGTGGTGCTGAGGATCGAACCCAGTGCCGCGCGCATGCCAGGCAAGCGCGCTACCGCTTGAGCCACATCCCCAGCCCTTCAAATATATTTTTACTTTAATCTTTTTAAGCATCATTTGCTCTACCATAGAAAAAAGGTACTACCTGAAGAAAGGGGCCAAATTACACTATTGTTTCCTTTCTTCATTTCACAATTAAATTTAATTGTGAAAAAAAGACTATATCTAGAAGACATATTTTTAGAGTAACATTTATTTTCTGTTAAGTGGGAATACTCAAGTTTAACAATTTTAAATATAAGTAATCTGGAGAGCTAAGTTTTTTGTAGTTGTAGATGGTCAGCGTGCGTTTATTCTATTTATATTTATTTATTTATTTATATGTGGTGCTAAGGATCGAACCCAGTGCTTGATACGTGCTTGGCAGGTGCTCTGCCACTGAGCTACAGCCCCAGCCTGGAAGATATATTCTTTGTCACTTCACTGAGTTGCTAACAACCTTTATTTTATATGAGACCTGTGTGTGTGTGTGTTACGGGAGACTTGAACCCAGGGCCTCATGCACAAGTTCTCTACCACTGAACTACATCTCCATCTCTTTTTTTAGAATTTTATTTTGAGACAGGGTCTCACTAAATTGCTCAGGCTGGTCTTGAATTTTCTTTTATCCTCTTGCCTCATCCACCAGAATAGCTGGGATCGCAGGTGAGTAGCTGGGATTACAGGAGAACAGTTGAGATTCCAGGCATGTGTCATCACATCCAGCTATATGGGACCTATTAAATTGTCCTTTCACAATGAATGATGTTGAAAACTTGGACTGTTCACTATACTTAAAATTTAGTAACTTTATGTCTTTACATGTGTATGTTAGTGTTTAATAATTAGGTTTTCTTAGCCTTATACTCCAGGAGGTTTGAAGGCATATAAGCATCTTGTTGTTTCAGAAAAAAAGTATTTTAAAAGTTTCCAGTTATGTTGTTTTTGAGAATATGAGATACAAATTAATAAAAGAATGGCTAACTATAATCTTTTTAAAAGGATTAAAGTCCTTTATGTGATACCAGTTTTAGAGACCCATAGAAACAATTTCAGAAGAGTTGGTTGGTTGTATAAACTTATTGATTTGTGGTCCTAAATGTTATAAACAGACATACTCTATTTTAGAATACCTGCATCAGGAAAAGCACTATTTCCTCAGGCAAATTGAATATATAAACTAAAATGTAAGGAATCTGAGAGAAAGTTATAATAAAAATGTGAACATACTTATTAATACTTTATTTTTTTGCTTATTTTTCTCTTTTCAGCCCACTTCGATGTGTTGTTCTTATTGCACTTAGGGATATTGAGCAAGGAGAAGAGCTTTTTTCAAACTACTACACAATAGTCAGCTAACTTGGCGAATTAGAAATTAGGTTTTTTACTTAGCTATTAAATCTAAGTGTATTTTTGTTAATCACTTCTCTGAGTTCTACCTGTAGAACAAATATTTTGAAATCTAATGGAGTATGTTTTTATTAATATATATTTACGTTCCATTTTCAATGATAAAAGTTATTTGCTTCATTACAATTTCAAACTTGTAATGCAATTTGAGTTCTAATTGATTTTCACCTAAATACACAATAACTTATTAAAACTACTTGGACTTGTAGTTTCAATTTTTCTTGTATTTATTTTGTATACCTCTGTGATGGTTTATAAAATTTAGCCAGGCATCAGCAATTCTAGTAGTACTGTTAATGTTTACAAGCTTTTGTAAAAACATTTATTTTTATAGGATAAAGTAAAACATACCTTTGGTTGCTATAAGTAAATTGGTGTGTACATGTGTAATTTTAAAGGTCGTTTCAACTGAGTAAGGGGAAATGTAAGGTCATTATTTTCTTATTGAAAAATTCCACACACACACAAATTTCTGGCAGTGTGCAAGAAAGATATTTTAGCCTGAGAATACAAGTAAAGGATAGTTGTTAGGAATCTCTCTCTTCTGCATGGCTCATAGTTCTGTGTAGGGCTTCCTTTAGTAATGCTTCTAGCTTCTTTCCACTCATTAGAGAAGACCAGTTTTCTGAGTGTCTTCTGGAGAACTAGGCACCCATAGCCCACTTCTCCAGCTCTTTCTTTGTGGAGAAAAAATGTAAGCCTGTACAGTTGCAGCTCTGAGGCCACCTGCCTGATTTTTATTAGTAATGTTACTTTGATCTTCATCCACCTAACTCCTGTTCAAACTATCAATTCCAAACTTGGGTAGGAAGGAGGATATTTTTTGATCCCCGCAAATCCTCATGGAAACTGTATAATCAGATTCTGACCACCTTCACTGCTGGGCTTACCAGCTTTACTCACTAGTTTATTGCAATTTCAATGGCTTCCTAATTGGTTTCCCTTTTTCCACTCCTGCCCCTCACAGAAATCTCCAAGAGTGATTATTTTATTTTTTTAAATATTTATTCTTAAGTTTTAGGTGGACACAATATCTTTATTTTACATTTATGTGGTGCTAAGGCTTGAACCCAGTGCCTCGTGCATGCTAGGTGAGCACTCTACCACTGAACCACAAGCGCAGCCCCAAGAGTGATTATTTTAAATCAAAGTCAGGTTTTTGACACACTCCTGTTCAAAACTCATCTAATATAAGAGTAAATGCTGAAGTCCTTCACATACATGATCTAGCTGCTTATTATCTCAAATTTCATCTGTTCTTCCCCACTCATTCCATTCCAGCCACACCTGCTTCCTAGCTACTCCTTGCACCTTCCTCAGGGAAATTGTACTGTGCCTGCAGAGACCTTCCCCCAGATAGTCTTGTAGTTCTTTCTCTCCCTTTCTGTCACATTCTCAGTGAGGCTTATCTAACCACCTTATTGAAATTCACAACACCCTACTCCCGTCCAGCATTCCTCATTCCACTTCCCCATTTTTCTGAATAGCACTTATGACCAGAAAGCTCATATTACAGTAGAGACACAATTAGGAAATTCCAGAAGTGGAAACAGGGAAGCCAGTTAGGAATATCTTGGCCATGATGTCCCTAGAAGTTACTGGAGATTATTCTGCTTTCACAGGGCTTCTCCTGAAATCCCATGTAGCTCTTATAGCACTTGACAGCATGTTTGGCTGTGTTCTAAATACTTGTGGTGCTTCTGTGCATGCATGGACCACAAATCTCTCACAGGAAAGCCCTTTGGTGTCTAAGAATGAAAGAATGTAGTTCTAGACAAGTAACCAAGGCATAGTAGAGGTGTTTGCCTTTATTTGTCCCTTTCTTGACCTTGTACAAAATCTGTTATGTGCAATCTGATAACTGCATTGTACCACTGTGCCCAGCTGGTAGGTAAGGGCATTGTAAGAATGGAACTATGGCACATGCCTGTAATCACCAGTGGCTCAGGAGGCTGAGACAGGAGGATCTCGGGTTCAAAGCCAGCCTCTGCAATGGGGAGGCACTAAACAACTCAGTGTGGCTCAGTGGTTGAGTGCCCGTGAGTTCAATCCCTAATACTAAAAAAAAAAAAAAAAAAAGAATGGAGCTAGAGAAAGCTCTAGTCAGAGCAAATCAAATACAGGGACATACATGAGAAATTAGACTAAATGAGATCTATGGCTTGAAAATATGAAGGCTTAGGAAAGATTTGAGTTGATGAAACTGAATAGTTTAGATAAGGGAGAGTAGTCAATCATAAATACTAGTCTGCCTATCATATCTGATCAAATTTCAGATACTATGTTTTACAAAAAGGCACATTTGCCTAGAACAGTGTTTGAAACATGAGACATTCAACAAATGTTTTCTGAATTAAACTAAAATCCTTGCTTTGGGATAATAAGAATTTTATTATAGATGGAAAACTATTACAGGGAATTTAAGAAAAATTTATCTACTGATTTTATTACTTACCTATCAAATACTTATTTACTGCATCTAAAATCAGTTTAAAACTGGTATAATCTACCTATTTTGGTGTAGCTTAGGATTTGTTAAAAAAAATTTTGGCAAATATTCATTCACACGAACCAAGAAAAAAAAGATTTCCAGATTTTTATTTCTGGAACTGTACACCAGGTATTAAAGTACAACAAATACAAAATAATGCTCAAAAAAATCAGTGTTTATGTACAAATATTAAAATCAATGCAACAATAGCAACTTCCTCTTGAACATCGGATACTAAAACTTGTTCTGATTGTCACTAATTTATCTCATACTCACAGGGTACTTATTTCAAACTGGGACAATTGAAGCCACTGGTCATCTAAGAGGAATATTATTTACCATATTTAACAATAAAACTAATAGTTTCCTCCTTTTAGTGAAAAAATTAGGAACTTTTTAAAAAACATAGTAATGTCGATATTTTTTATAAATTATTTCAATTTCCATTTGTAGACAATGTGCTTTGAAACTCTGGGCAAACAATCTCCTTGGTGGTCAGGTTTATTTGTTAGTTTACATTCAAAGTTGAAGTATTTACTAGAGACTTTGGTTAAATTAAATAGTATCACTACGCTCTATTAGATCTGACGTTCTCAAATATTTATGACCCTCAATTTTAAAAATTAAAAAGGAAACGATTGCACAATTCTTTGACCTAATTGTACAGACTTTAGTATTTTTAAAACAGTATTCTACATCTTTCAAGTAATTCAGCAGTTGACCATGACAAGAGGAAAACTAAACATTTAAAAAGCTAGCATGGAAAAGATGAAATATGACTAACAAAAGTAAAGTATTGCTATAATCACAGCACCAATTACACTTCTAAATGAATCCACTGTCCTCTTCAAATTCCCTGTACATAAAAGATACATCAGCCAACACTGCAACTGCTCACCATGAATTTTTGGTTTGTTCATATGAAAATAATGCGGCAAAAGGAAAAAAAAAAGAATTTATCACAGTTTGTTATAAGAATTGTGCTTTTAACACTTGATAATAAAGGTGTTATTTCTTCATATGATCGTAAATCAGATATTTTCATGCTTTGAAACGCAATTCTTTTAATAAACAGTAACAAATTCTCTGTTAAGATGCTTAAACGGAGAGGAAAAAAAAAACCAGTAAACCCAGCTTTTAAAAGAAAGTTCAATAAATAGCTATTTTACATGAATAAAGTCATAGTGGTACAATTATGAATGTCACATCAAGCATGCACAAAATGGTATTATACATGACAGAAGTAGTCAGAAAATATTGAGTTAGATCTAAAAAGATATGAAGGATTTACACATATATACAAAAATCTTGCAAATTATTGCCTCATTTTAACAAGGAATTAAAAGTAAACGTTACCAGCTAGCTAGCACTCTCTAAGAGGCTAAAAACAGATTGGCATTTAAAAATCTATTAAACTAGCTGGAATTTATTTTTCTCTCATATCATTTTCTGGATTTTGGTCAAAAATATTTAAATAACTAAAGTGTCCATTCAACTTGCTGATAATCGAAACTTTAGATAAGAAACACTGTTTCCATCTTATATCAAGATCCCAGCAATGCATAGATAAACTGAATATATTACTGCATCAGCTAATGAGAATGGGCATGTTCATTTAAGTGCAACTGGTATTAGCATTCAGTCATCTTTGTGTAAATTATTTATACAGACCAGCCACTGTAAACCCAGAGTGAAAATTAAAATTATAACAATGGAAGATTATGGCCAGTATCTTACTAAATAATAGAAAGTATTGATTTTTTAACAAAAGAAATAAGGTTCAAAGTTTAGCACAACAACACAGCAATAAGAAGCTGATAACTTGGATACAAATATGAGAAAGCAACACAGAGCCCAGGCTACCCATTATTCACTGTGTGCTACAGGAATGCTAGACTTTAGATGTATAAATTAGAGACTGATTTTAAGTTATTAATTTAACTACTTTTGTCCACTGTGCTAAACTAAATTTTATAGTAAATGTGCTACTGCGTAAACACTTCAAAGCAATCTTCATTAAAATGCTGCAAAGAAAAAACAAGAATACACATCATCCAAAACTAAGGATGTCATTGCAGTTCACAGTTTGTATAATAAATACCCTCCCTTTCAATTGCTAAGACCACTACAACCTATCTACTCATCAGCACAACCTTGAAGCGATTTACACTTACAAATATTAGCAATGCAGCCAAACGATTTTTTTGCAAAGCGACACGACTAGTAAAAATAAAAAATATTAGTTAAGACGGTGCAAATAAAAGGTAATTGTTTTAACTGTACTATAAAAGCAAAGCTTATTATATCCTAATACTGTATTACATATTGTCTGATTTACCTTATAACTTAAAGATGCATGTCCATAGAGCAAAAATGGCCAAAGTTTTTGACAATGGCTTCTCATTCACAATGTTTGGAATAAAAATAAAACCAAGTTTGAGATGCATCTGAACGTCTATCACTTTTTAAAACTTAAAAGTGGTAACGTACCATTCTATTTCAGGTAGGCACTCACATTTTTCTTGCCAACTGCTTAATCTAAACCAAATAGCTTAAATATACTTCAAGGTTCTACTGCATTATGCATAAAATCTAGAAGTCCCTCTAAATATTAACACTTTGAACTGCAGTGCTACAAACTTAAGAGGTGTCCCAAAATGTAAACCATTGAGTGGCAACATCCTAGGCTTTGTAGACTGTGCCTCTGCAAGTCAACTGCCTCAGGATAAAATAAATTATCAGTGACCGGTATGGTTTAAGATTACAATCTTTACAACGGTGGACAAAACCCCATATGAATACCACATCTTCGAATGCCAAATTTTTAGCCAGTAAATGAAATTACACAGAAATCTCCCAGCAGTAAAATAACCAACTCTG